AGCAGAAGAGAGTAGGATCGTTACCAAGACACGGTGTAGAGGAAGAATTAAGAGAATAATAAAAGGTCCAAAAGAATAGTGAAAGGGGTAACTAAAGTACTAAGAGAATAATATGAAGACACAGTAAAGAGACAAAAATAAAGTGAAGGACGAAGGCTTCGCTTGGCAGCTGGCTCTTAGAATGACCCTTACAATTATGCTGAAATTAAAAATGATTAAAATGTCGTCACTGAAGTCGGTATTTCAAGTTTTTATGCGTTTTGTGCAGTGTAACAGCAGTACAAAAGGCATATTGGTACGGGGTTGTCTGTGTGTGTTTGTGTGTGTGTGTGTGTCCGCAGCAGCTTGTCCGCAACTTTCAACTCGGGAACCACAAAAGCTAGGAGCTGAAAATTTAGGGTAACGTTCTCCCGCGTGTGATTCCGCAAATTTTAATTCAACTTCCCCGTACCCGCGGGTAACGCGTACGGTCCTGTGAAAGTTTTTTACGGGTAAGTTAATATCTCGGGAACCACGGAGTCTAGGAGGCTGAAGTTTCATGGGTAATGACGCACTGCCCATGCTCAACCTTGCCCATTCAAAATCAGCCTTCCCTTACCCGCGGGTCGGTAATGACCCCCTGCCCACCCTCAACCTTGCCTATTCGAATTCAGCCTTCCCTTACCCGCGGGTAATACGTACGGCCCCGTCAAAGTTTTTCACGAGTAAGTCACGGGTAAGTTAATATCTCGGGAATCTCGGAGTCTGGGAGGCTGAATTTTTACAGCAATGACTCCCTGTCCACTCTCAACCTTGCCCATTCAAATTCAGCCTTACCTTACCCGCGGGTAACACTTATGGCCCCGTGAAAGTTATTCACGGGTAACTTAATATCTCGGGGACCACGGAGTCTAGGAGGCTGAAAATTTAAGAATAATGACCCCCTGCCCACGCTCAACCTTGCCCATTCAAATTTAGCGTTCTCGCGCTCTCGGCTACCACTTACGGCCTCCTGAAAATTTAGGCGGGTAAACTATTAACTCGGGAATCGGAAAGATATCCTTCAGGGTTTCGAATTCAGCTTTCATACGCTGGTGCGTGAAATTTTTAACTGTTTTCCAATGTTTGAACTATTTTGCTATTTAGCTTTCATACGCTGGTGCGTGAAATTTTTAACTGTTTTCCAATGTTTGAACTATTTTTGCATAGACAAGGTACCCCAGGCTGGAACGCATCGGGCGGGCCCGTGCGATCATGCGTTTTTGCACCGGACTAGAAGTACTCAGGTCATTGACTGCATGAATGGCTTTGCTTTACACCTACCTGTTGCGGTCACTGGCATAAATCACTATAAATTTTTGCAAAGTAATTTTCCATTTAATAGTCATTCTTTAAAAGTAACCTAGTTGTTTAGTAAGAAATTTTTTCGCCAAGATTTTTGAGTGACCGAACGTAAGAACCATGCATACCTCAAGCTGAATCTGAAGTACTTAAGCTGCACTTGGACAGGGAACATTCTCTCAAAATTTCGGCTTTCCAGCTTTTCTGATTACCGAGTTAGCGATTTTCCTCCCAAAACCTTCGCATACCCGTACGTGGGTACTCCACGTGTCTGGAAAGCTGTATTTGAAGTTTTTAAATTACAC